AGGTGATCTCGTGAGATGATTTTTTCTTGATATATTTTAATCTTTTTCATTTTCTTATAACACAATTTGAGCGACACTTTTTTATAATAGTAAATTTTATATATACACTAAAACCGAATTGATTCTTTTGAGTGTTTACATGAATTTATTAGCTTACCACAACAAACCACACTACATCGCATGCACCATAAATCCTAAAATTTGGAGGGTATTTTCGTCACAACCATGGTAGGATCCACCGGTGGCAAAATCCAAAATCAATGACAAAAGAGCTTGAGAGTTATGCTATAAGTGTGACAAGATGTGGTTCAAAGGCCATCAGTGAAAGAAACATGTAAACATCATCCTAAATGAATATGAGGATGTAGAAAAGAGTGAAGAAGCCAATGTGGATAACTCGAAAGAGATTCATGATACTATCAATTCCACATAAATAAGTGACTTGGCTGAAATTTTATTGAGCTATGTAGCAGGACTATCATCGCCAAAACCAATAAAGATCAAGGGGACTATAATTGTTGGATTGAGTGTCTAAGTTAATAACTAATTTAGTATAATTTTGAATTACTAGTAAAGTCTTTTTATGTTGTGTTCAAACCTAGTAATCTATATATATCTATCATTATCATTATCATTATATACTTATAAATGAAACATTTTTTTTGTTACCACATTCATTTGAAACTCTCATTCTTTTTTTTTTTTACCACATTTATTTGAAACTCCCATGAATTTTCAATGTCTTTCTAATAATAATTATAAGTTGGTTAATAAGGTTACCAAATAAATATCAAACTTAAAGTGTAATCATATATAAACTAAATTTCAATATTAAAATAATTTCTATATTTCTACTTATAAAATTATGTTTTTTAACTTTTAACATATTATACTTAGTTTATTAGTTTTAATATATTGTTGGATGTAAATTATTATCATTTTAAAGATACAATTTTGGAACAACTTGTATAAAATACTTAAATTGTTAATTTAAATATAACCTTACAGGATCAACTTAAATATAAATTTTAGTTCAACTTAAACAACTCAAAGAATATTTAGTAAATAGTTAAAAGTGATAAATTGTAACGTCTTTCTAATAATGATTATAGTTTGGTTAATAAGGTTAAATATGTATCAAACCTAAAGTGTAATCATAAATAAAGTACATTTCAATTTCAAAATAATATCTTTACTTCTACTTATAAAACTATGTTTTTAACTTTTAACATATTATACTTAATTTATTAGATTTAAAATGTTGTTGTATATAAACCATTATCAATTTAAAACTATAACTTTTGAACAGTTTTGACAAAATACTTCAATTTTTAATTTAAATATAAGATTATAGTGTCAACTTAAATATAAATTTCAGTTCCACTTAAAAAATCAAAGAATATTTTGTATATAGTAAAAAATGATAAATTGTAGTGATAAATGCAAAAACTAAATTGTAATTTCAATTTAAGTAAACTTGTAACGACCCAATTTTCACGTCCGAAAATTTCGTTTTAAAAACATTACTTTAGAAAACATTAATAATTAAAAACATTGTTTGATCAAACCATAACACAACGTAAACCATGTCTAAAAGCCAAACCATACAACCCATCAAAATATCAGAGTACAAATCCCAGTGAATCTCGTAAATGCGGAAACCAGAGTGTGTGCATGATGTGCTACTACCGCGCCAGCTCCTTCCCCTTCGAAGAAGAGGTACCTGAAACCAAAACTGTAAAACGTAAGCACAAAGCTTAGTGAGTTCCCCCATCGTACCACATACCATACAAACACATAACATACATACTACCAGGCTATTCTGGGGTGCCTGACTACCCGGTACGGCCATTCTGGGGTGCCAACCTACCCATACGGCCATTCTGGGGTGTCGTCCTACCCGTATCAAGCCATTCTGGGGTGCTGACTACCCATGTCAAGCCATTCGGGGGTGCTGACTACCCATCGGTCCTAACAACTGATCCTCGGGGACTGGTCTCCTCCTACTACCTCTATCGCATAACATAACAGGCCAGCATACAACATATCATCACATACTGTCAGACATTTCGGGGGTGTCTGGCTACCCTTTGGTCCTAACAACCGAACTCTACTACTATCACATATAACGTATCATGCTAACATATAACATAACAGGTAGTAGCAACCAAGATGATATCACAAAGACAATCATCTAACATACGACTCCTACTGGTGGGCCGGTATTTTGGTCGTAGACCCACCGCTACTGGAAGGTAACTCACCTCAAAGTAGCTGCTGAACTGATCGGGAACTGATTGACTGCTGCTGCTCCGGAAATCCTCCGGCTGCAATTCCCACAACATACTCAATCAAACACTGCTAACTGTCCTTTAGGTAAAATGACCATTTTACCCCTGGTCAAGCCCTAAGTCAAAGTCAGAGCCAACTTTCAATTGACCCGACTCACCGAGTTGGCTCTCCAACTCGCCGAGTCCCTATCCAGACGATTCTCCTGAGTCCCGTTTCTACTCGTCGAGTTAGGCTATGACTCGACGAGTTCTTCTTCTAAACTGATATTCAAGTCCTTCATCCTACTCGCCGAGTTGTATGAACAACTCGTCGAGTTCATCTTCATCCGATGAACACTTATGCGGAGACTCGCCGAGTTGTATGAACAGCTCGCCAAGTCTGTTCTTGATCTAAGGAGATTGCCTTGAACTCGCCGAGTTCCTCCATAGATGAGTTCAGCTTCCAACTTACTGAGTCACACCCCGTGACTCACTGCACACTCGACACTACGAAGAGGGGACAAATTCGGAGACTCGCGAGCGGACTCGCCGAGTCACATGAACGACTCGCCGAGTCGTTGCCATGCACCTACAAAATACACAGATTTGCTCGATTCCAGTCCATGCCATTCACAGATCTGGACTCCTAGAACACGAATCACACGTAAAGTTTCCAACTTTATGTGTAGATATTCACCCATGAGGCTTTTAGGGTTCAAAATGTACTCAAGAGGGTAGATCTAGGGTCTTCATGCAATGAGGGTCCATAAAGGCAACAGATCTGAGCTCCTGGAGCTCAACCATGCCTAGATCTAAGGGCCAATCAGCCTATTACGAGATAATTTGCACATACAAACTTGGGTATTGGCTCAAGAATGACTTGCATGAAGTAATAAGCATAGAAACAGGGGAAAAACGGATTATACCTCAAAGGAACTGCTGAAAGAGTGCAAAGATGTCTGGATTCCTTTCCTTCCTTTTGATCTACTTCCCTTTCTTGCCTCAAAACCTTCAAGAACACACACAATAGCCTCAAACTATCAAGGAACAAGCTTAGAACGAGGGTTAGGAGCTCTGGGGGTGAATGGGGGTTGGCATGGGGCGGATATGATGTTTAAATAGGGTGCAAACCCCTGAAACTTAGGGTTTCATCCAACAGCGGTGACTCGCCGAGTCCAGGATATGGACTCGTCGAGTCGCCAACTTAAACGTGTCCCGGGTCCCGTCTCTACTCGGCGAGTCGGATCTATGACTCGCCGAGTCCAAGGCTAAAAATGGAAAATACTCAAATAAGATTTACATACCAGGAACCAGGTGCTACAAAAATATTTCCTAAAGATATTTATATAATCTTTAAAAAAATTCAAATAAGTAGCTTAAAATAACTTCAATAACAATAATTAAAAATAACTCTATATAAATGATTATATTGTTACCTTTAAAATTAAAAAACAATGTTTGATTTTTAAATAATTATAATGATAGAAATTAAAACATTAAGCAAATAAATTTTAAAAAACTAATTAACAATAACAATAACCATAAATAACACTAAACCATATATTATAGTTAATTTAATCATATGTAACTCACGGGTAGAAGTCATTCAAACGAATGAGATTATGCAGTTATAATAGATGTAGTGTTGCAAAACTCGGCCTACTCGGCTGATTACTCGGAATCGGCCCTCCACCGAGGCGAGTAATGTCAACTCGGCCAAAAAACTCGGATTTTGTCAAAACCGGCTAAAAATCGGTCAAATTCAGTCAAAAATCGGACAAACTCGGGCCTACTCGATCTTACTCGGGCCTACTCGGTCAAACTCGGCCAACTCGGTCAAAGGGTCAAAATTGTCATAAAAAGAGAAAAAAAAATCAAGAATTTCAAAATTAATATGTATAATGCACTTAATGATTTATTATTTAACACAAACATATGATTATTACTACATATATATATATATATATATATATATATATATATATATATATATATATATATATATATATATATATATATATATATCTTAAATTTTCAGTAATTATTCACGTAGTGAGACAATTATGTGTATTTCGGTTTTTATGTATTCACATGTATCTAATTTTGGTTATATATTTTAATCAAATTATGATTTTAACTTATGGTTTTGACATATATAATTTTCCAAAAAATATTTCTACATCAATTACCGAATCCGAGTACTCCCGAGTACTCGCTACTCCCCAGTCGGCCGAGCAGGTACCGAGTAGCGAGTTCTACAACCTTGAATAGATGTATATATTATCATATAATTCAAAATAATCAATATATTATATCCATTTAGTATACAAATTTAACAACAACGTTATTGTTATATTAAAAAAACATATATTTGTAAAGACTTCAACTATATATTGTTTCTGCACAACGTGCGGGTATTCAGTTGAATATATGAGAGAGGGGGTCCCACTTGCATTAATTATATTATAAAATAAGATATAAGCAATAAATAAATTAAAAATAAATAAAGAAATGTAATAGTCTTTTTAATTTAGTGGTACATGTATTGTCATTGAAAGTAAAAACGATATAAATAATATAAAATCCAACTTGCATTGCAACTAAACTTTGAACAATTGAAAGAAATTGAATTAATTCTAACGACATCCCTCGATCTACTCCTTTCTTAAATCCTATGAACAAATTACGTGGCAATGATTGCTGAGTAAGTCAATTAAACCCAAAAACATATCAAATATCATCATCGTACCATTCATCGGCTTTAAGAAGAGTGATCGTAAATTCGGCATCAGAAACATGCTGAAGCAAGTAATCTTTCACACATTTAAACACCGATTCCTTACATGAGTCGTCACATACGTCAATCGCTCGACCACAATGAACCGGAAATTCCAGCTTCACGTTCTTCAACATCCGAAAGGGTGAACTACGCTTCACCAACTCATCTGGATAGAAATATAGAAGAAGAGCAATAGGCGAGTATAGCGTTAACGATTTGACATTATGAAGACCAGAGAAGAAAAACAGCAGATCTTCTAAGACTCGCTTCTCCTGACGCTTGTAAATATGTTTACGGTTGTAAAAACCCCAATAACCAATCACTAGGGTCTCAAGAACACTAAGATCCTCATGTTTTGGGAAATCATACCCTCGATACTTCAAGAATCTGAGTCTTGGAGTCTCAAGTTTCAAGCAGCTCATTCCTGTAGAGATTATCAAATGCCAAAGTCGAAGATTGTGTATCCTAAGCGTTTTATTGTTATTAGAATGACCACAACTAACCATTGTCAAACTCTCCAACATCGGAAACCCTGAGAATGGTTCAACATCCGTTATGAGTGCACGTTTGAGGTATATAACAGTCAGATTCTTGAATGATGTGGATCCTGGTAGAAACGGGCACTTGATCCGATCAAACCATGATACCAGTTTTAAACTCCTCAAGGAATCACATACAGAAAGTGGCCATGCAATGTTTCCACCGAAGACAATGGATGCTTCCAACTGCTTGACACCATGCAAAAACGCGTAATCAAAAACACTCTTTAAAATCTGAGTACTTGTTTTGTGGACGATGAACTTCAACGTGTCCAACTTGGCTAAATGATCACGACGACATAAAACCTTGTTGACGAATGTATTGAACACGTCGAGGTTATTGAAAGAAAGGCATTTGAATTTAAGAACTGGGATCTTAGTCCACAAAGAAACCCAAGTTCTTGACAACATCGATGTTTGAACAGCTTGTTTCACGTCAAGAGAAGAGAGGATACGAAGTTGCAAGGCTTCGGGTATATCACTGAGTATGTCGTCCTCCATTTTTGCTGCCCTTTTCTTCTCAACTTATTCTTTTTTCTTTTCACATGTTTTACTTTTGGCCTCCACAATGGTTGAAGGTATGGATATGGTAGAAGGATGAAGAAGGCGTTGATATGATATATAAGGATCCTGATGATGCATCGGGATATGGGTGTTTTCATAGCTTTCATATTGACCAAGTATATCGTGATGTTTGTTGCTATTAATTTATCCTTTCATTTATGATAAGTTCTAATTAAGAATGTTTTATGTTACAACATCTTTTTGCAATCGACATTGAATTTAATAAGCAAGAATATACGTATATAAATTTGAGAAAAGGATTTCATTTTGCTGGTTTGTTAATTTTTGATGTGTTCATATATTATCATTGTCACCGGCTATCTCAGGTAACAATGGTAACATGTGAATACATTTAACAAGTTAAATAAACAAATGTGTAAAAAAAAAACAGATATTATCTAAATGTGAACAAAACAAAAAGTTAATTATCCTGATAAGTCATTTATCCCACTTTTAATAGTGATTTTATTTTTCATATTTGTTTGTATTATTTTTTTTTCAAACATTATTTTTAAAATATCCATAATGTTTTAAATATAATTAAATATTGATAATTCTAAACTTTTTTTTAATTAATAAATATCCTTTTGTTTTGTAAAATGTTTTATCCCACTTTTAATAGTGATTAGAACAAGTCTCTCTCTCTCTCACTTTATATATATATATATATATATATATATATATATATATATATATATATATATATATATATATATGTGTGTGTGTGTGTTTTTAAGCATATACAATATTTTTAAATTAACATATCTAACAATAAAAATAAATTAATTAAATACGTAACAATAAGTATGGATGGTCTTTTAAAAAGATAAAAAGAAAAATATTACATAGCAAATTAAAAAAAAAATCTATATAATGTAAATGTTTTAAAAGTATTACAATATTTTAATACTTTTTAATTAGAAGATTATAAACTTTTAATTTTTTTAATACATCGTTTTAAACTAGTATTTAACGAAAGTTTTTTAAAATATTATAAAAAAAATATTAAATTGTTATATAAAATTTGTTAAACACTTTAAAAATGTTGTAAAAAAGTTGAGAATGTATATTGTATGAAAGTTATAAAAAAAAATTATATGAAAATGTAAAAAAAAATAATAATAAATAAAAAGAAAGAAAGAAAACAAGGAAAAAAAAGTTAAAACCTTGTATGAAAAATTAAGACATAACATTTAGAAAATATTTGTTTTAAAAGCATGTGTACTAAAATTATATGAAAGTAGAAAAAGTTATAAAAAACATATAAGAAAAAAATTAAAATAGTGTATTAGAAAAACCTATAGGAAAAATATCATAAAAATATTATAGGAAATTATAAAAAGTCTTAAGAAATTTACAAAAAGAAAAAAAGAAAATTTTCATATTTAGGGAATTTTTTTAAATACATTAACCATTTAACTTGTTAAATATGTTCATATATTACCATTGTCAGTTGTTATAGTAGGTGACAATGGTAATATATAAACACATTTAACAAGTTAAAATTGTCAAATTTGTTAAAAAAAAGTTGTATAAACATGAACAAGACGAAAAAATAATTACCATGACAAGTCATTTTCCCTATAAATTTGGATATTAGTGAAAAACTTTTTTGAAACAACTATTTTTTTCTTGTATCATATGAAAAATGTTTAAAAAATCCAAATAAACCATACACTCAAAAAGTGTTTAAAAAACCCAAATAAATCCCGTTATTAAAGATACGGCATAAATTAATAATAGAAAAAGAGCTCCAGTATAAAGATCTTCATTAGTTCGTAAACCAATTGTATACCACCACTGATAAACACCAGAATAACCGATATTCACTGGGCCAAGAGCACCACGTCGAGTAAAAGCTTCTAGAGACTAAAATGAGGATCCCAAATTGCATGAGCAATAGGTCTTACATGTAAAGGATCCTATACCCATAACTCAAAATTTCCTTGCCAAGCTACATGAAAGAGATTTCCGGAAGTCCACAAAAAAAATTATTGCTAATTGATACCCACTTGATGACATTCATTCGTCACATAAAAAATATATCATAGGTATATCTTATTAATTTATCAGCATGTTAAAATAAAATTTGGTATTGAATTCTATTATATATTATTGAAAGTTATTAGGGTGATAAATTGACAAGTTATGTCGTGTTTTTAGCTAACACGACATGATAATGACAGTTTTTTATATAATACGAACATGACAATATATGACCCGTCGTTTTTTGAGTAATAACACGAAAACAATTCAATTATAACACCATATAAACGACCAACAGAACAAAAAAAGATAAATATAATATGAAATAAACTTTTAGTTTATTTAAATCATAACTAATCATAAAAACCACGACAAACAAATGTTAACATCATGTCGACTTTTTGAACACGAACATGACATTGTGTTTTTTAACGGTTGACAGGAACACAAATTTAAAATTGAATTTCATCCGAATGTTGTTTCATGTGTTATATTTTGATAGTGTATATGTTATGAATTGCCACCCTTCAATTTTTTCTTTAACAACTCCACAGAAAACTCTCAAAAACTCATTGCCAAACATATGACTATAGCTATAGCTATAAACTTGCATGTATATTTAATAAGCTAAAATGAAACAACTTTATATAATCATAAATTTTAAAACTTAGACACCTCATCTCAAAAATTCAAAATACTTCAATTCTCCATAATTCAAGCTAAAATGAAACAACTTTATATAATCATAAATTTATTCACATATAAGCATCATCCTGTTATATCTAAAAGCTAGTATGAAATCTAGAGTTATGTAAAAAGGATAATTTCAGTGAGATCTCACATGTCAATTTTTCGACCCCAAAACCTGTTGCTTAATTTCTTCAATCTTTGATGCCAATTCATCTCTGTTTTTCTGCAAAATAAATAATCAATATCATTTATTGAAATAAATAAAAATATGTTACTATTTATTGCCTATATAATATTACCTTAAAGAGCAAGTAGCGTGTGCTAAACCAGATAGTGTAGCCAAGGCCTACAACTTCCATCAATTTTGGAAACTGATAACACAAAAATGAAATTAAGGTTATGGTATATATTATTATATTATGATTTTATATTAGCAAATATAAAAAAGCAAATAACATACCAAAGGTATATTATCAATGGCTCCAACTATTGATGCAGTTAACCATAAGGCTGTAACACCACCTACACCTAGTAAAGAAATTGAAAAGGTGTCCTCAAAATCCAACTACAAAACAAGTAAAAGTATGTAGTCAATTCATAGATCAAAAAGAAAAGATTGATATAGTTGTTGTAAGATTATATCTATGAGTAAAAGCATTAAGCATTAAGCATACCTCCATATTGAGTTTGTTTAGAAAATCAAACTGAGGGAATTGATCAGCTGATGTGGCATCATCATCATCTTTGAATAGACTAAATCCTCCAAATCCACTTTTCTCATCAGATTGAGCTTCTGTCACTCCACTATCAGGTTCTTCATTGAGATACTGATTTGCTCCATTTGATGGTTCATCAGGATTTGGTGCTTCTTCTACTGGTGAGTAGTTGAGCACTTTTGGTTCTTCTTTGACATACTGATTTGCTCCACTTGATGTTTCATCAGACGCTGATGCTTTTATAGAAGAGTAGTTGTAATGGCGTGATCCTATGAAGCAAAGTATATGAGATGATGAGAATCAGTTCGTTTTCCATGAAACCAATATCTCCTGTAGGTCATTGTTGATTCTCAATTTTCAACACAAAAAGTTTTATAGATCTTGTCCTGAAATTCATCATTTTGGCCACAATGGACGCAATCGTACAAGTAAATGAATACTGTAAGTTTAGGGTTAACAAGGAGCAATACAGAATACAACGTTTTTATGTACTAGAATCATCAAATTACATATTTCCTTGAAAGCAGTATATTCAAAGAGATCTGAGCCCTATACTCGCAAGTGGAAGCCAAAATGATCCAGAAACTAATTATATCTAACAAAATTCGATTTATGAAGTGTATTTAAAGATCACGAATCGAAAATTGAACGAAAAAAGCAGATGAGTAAAACAGTTACGAGTGAGAGACTGTGCACCTTGATTGTTGCGAGAAATCGAGTTTGGTTTCAAAGGGACAGAGAATTTCCATTGCAAGCAAGTTCTGTAAGGGGTAAAGGATGTAAGTTTTTGTAGACGATTTGGGATGCAACGAGTAGAAGTGCAGAGCTCCATTGTTGTAAAAAGCGTTTGGGGTTTTAGCTGGTTCTAGTAGGGTTCTATGTTTTGCAAAGGAGCTTCGTCTGTATTCAAAATAAAGAATAAAAACAAAGTTTGCCGATAAAACGTGGCTCTCACTTTTTCGCTAACCTTTAAAAAAAAAAAAGGAGGTCCTACCGGGAGTCGAACCCAGGTCGCTGGATTCAAAGTCCAGAGTGCTAACCACTACACCATAGAACCTTATATATAAATAATAAAAATAATAAAAATAACAAAACGAAAAAAAGAAAAAAATATTTTTTAAATTTGTTTTATATTAAAGTGAAATCTAAAAATTCTCGTTTTTGTTTCAATAAAGTTTTAAAAGTTTTTTTAAATTAAAATGTTCAAATTATTTAACATTTTATCCAAATTAATGAAAAAGTTCATTTTTATATTATAACAGCAAATAACAAATGATATAATTTTTTCAAAATAATGAAAATTTTCTATTAAAAGAAAAAGATTTTTTTGAAATTTTTCCCAAAAATTTGAAACTTTTCTGTAAATTTCCTTATATTAAAACAATAATAATATATCAATCTTAAGTAAAATCATATTAGTTTATAGGGAAAACAGCAATAAAGTCCTTACATAATGGCTTCATAATCGATTCAGTTCCTATATTTATTTTTTATTCAATTAAGTCCCAAATACCGGTAATCATATTCAATTTAACTCTTTGACCC